GATTAAGCCACGTTAGCCGTGTGGTGGGAAGGGAGGAAGAAGCGTCGCATCCGGCGTTCGGGAAGCCGACGTATCGGTAGGGTGAATGTAATTAAAGTAATGCGGCGGCGGGTCGTAAAGGCCTCAACTATTGTTAAATAAGGAGGAAAGGGAGGGAAAAATTGAACGGAGAAACTCAATGCCAGCCCACGAACAGACGACAACGACATAACGCCACGAAAACATTATCTTCAGACATAAAGATAAAAGTAATGTTGTTCAGAACGTATTATTAAACTCAAATTAACTCGCGGCAACGAAAGAACTGCAATAAACGCACGAGTGGAAAACATAATTATCAAGTGTCTGCTCTAATGGAGGAATAGTTCATTTTTTTCTTGTAAATGTGTGCTTTAAGTCGTTAGAAAATCCATTGCTAAGGGTGATGTAACATTTTGAAATTTCTACAGAAAATATTGTAATACATTTTTTTTTGATCATTTTTCTTATAATGCTGTAAATTTTTAAATTTTAGTACATAAATTTTAAAATATTTTGAACATTTGTCAACTATAGAAAAAATTGCAATAAATTCTAAACAAAAGGATTGCTTTTGAACATATGTTTTATCTCGATTTACTTCTTCCTTTTCAAAGTAGAGTAAAGGTTAAAAATTATAATAAAAGTTCAATAATCAAAAAAAATTTAGTAAAATTACAAAAATTAAAAAAAAATATGTAAGAAAAGAACATAATTATAAACATTCTACTTTAATGGTAGAATTTTCAGTATTTTTTTTGTATTCTATTTGTTATAAAATTCAAATTAATGGGGGTTTGCATCTTTCTAACCTAGTGGACAAAATATTTCTAAAAATTGCAATAAATATGAAGGTAATATGTAATGTGTAAAGGTAATAATTATAAAAGTTCAACAATCATAACAAAATTTAGTAATATTACAGTAATTCCACATATGTTATCATAACAAAAGATAGAGACCGAAGCAGCAAGTACGTCATTACATCTGTCAAATAGTTAGGTTAGGAATGTAAGGAGCGAGGACATGTAAAGCCTGGTTCATGACTGTGTAAAATGTAGTACGTCAGTGCATCTGTCAAAAAGTTGGGTTAAGAAAGTAAGCTGCAATGACATGTAAAGTCTGGTTCATAAATATATAAAATCATGGTACGTCATTACATCTGTCAAATAGTTAGGTTAGCAATGTAAGGAGCGAGGACATGTAAAGCCTGGTTCAAAACTGTGTAAAATGTAGTACGTCAGTGCATCTGTCAAAAAATTGGATTAAGAAAGTAAGCAGCAATGACATGTAAAGTCTGGTTCATCAATATATAAAATATGGTACGTCATTACATCTGTCAAATAGTTAGGTTAGGACTGTGTAAAATGTAGTACGTCAGTGCCTCTGTCAAAAAATTGGGTTAAGAAAGTAAGCAGCGATGACATGTAAAATCTGGTTACAGTAATTCCATTATCATAAAAAAAAATTGTGATAAAAAAGAACATAATTACAAAAATTCTAGTTTAATTGGAGAATTTTCAATATTATTTTTTTGTATTCGTTATAAAATTTAAATTAATTGCATCTTTCTAAAAATAGTGCATAAATTATTTAAAATATGAATTCCAGTTAGTAGATAGAAACCGAAGCAGCAAGAACATACTGATTGTGCAAACATCCCGAAACCAATCAGTTTTTTCTTCTTCATCTTCTCCGTTTGATGTCTCCATTGCGTAACCCTACTACAGCTATTACATGAAAATTAAATTACCTTCGTTACATTATGTGAATTCGCATCACCACTAATTCCGATTGGTTTTTGGAACTCATCATAATTATTTTTTTTTGTGCTCTCCTTGATGCGAAAACAAGAACCATTAAAATAAACGTAATTTACATGAGTTTTAATTGGAATTTTGTTATTTTCATCCTATCAATTTTTCAACCTTTCTTCTCCATCAATTGTTTATTTGCGCCGTGTTTGTTCATGTCCGGTTTCACTTTCGATTTAATTCCGTGCAAGCGCAAATGTTTTCCGTGAAAACAATTGTTTTCCAACGTAATTTGTTTCCGATGCCGACGGCTGCTTATTTTCACTGTATACTTTTTGATATTTTGTTTTATGTGCGTTTTGCGTTCGTCCTTGTCCTTGTCGGATGAAGGATATGATTGAAGATGCATCGCACGTTATGCTGAGAGTGGGATTTCTCTGAGCATCCTTTTGATTTTTAACATCCTTTGAGGCAATAATGCGTTTTTCTCGGGAATGGAATGTATATAAGGCTATGACATGCAAAGCCGGCTACGTAACTATGCAAAATGTGCAACAAATAGATCAACAGTTCGCGTTTCACGTGAAAATGATTTTTTTGTTTTACGTCTTGTTGAGACATTCAATTTGTTTATTGCATAATTTTAATTGCGCAGAACTGGTTCTCAGGTTTTCAAAAATAATGTTAAGAAGGCGACGTGTAAGTATATGAAATATGGTACGACATTACATCTGTCAAATAGTTAGGTTAGGAATGTAAATATCGAAGATATGTAAAATTTGGTTCATAAATATATAAAATATGGTACGTCATTGCATCTGTCAAATAGTTAGGTTAGGAATGTAAGGAGAGAGGACATGTAAAGCCTGGTTCAAAACTGTGTAAAATATAGTGCGTCAGTACATCTGTCAAAAAGTTGGGTTAAAAAAATAAGCAACAATGACATCTAAAGTCTGGTTTATAACTATGTAAAATGTAATACGTCAGTATATCTGTCAAATAGTTAGGTTAGTAATCGAAGCACCGAAGACATGTAAAGTCTGGTTCATAACTGTAAAATGTAATACGTTAGTATATCTATCAAATAGTTAGGTTAGGAATGTAAGCACCGAAGACATGTAATGTCTGGTTCATAAATATATAAAATATGGTACGTCTTTGCGCCTGTCATATAGTTAGGTTAGGAACGTAAGCAGCGAGGACATGTAAAGCCTGGTTCAAAACTGTAAAATGTAATACGTCAGTATATCTGTCAAATAGTTAGGTTAGGAATCGAAGCACCGAAGACGTGTAAAGTCTGGTTCATAACTGTAAAATGTAATACGTTAGTATATCTGTCAAATAGTTAGGTTAGGAATGTAAGCACCGAAGACATGTAATGTCTGGTTCATAAATATATAAAATATGGTACAGTCCTTGCGCCTGTCATATAGTTAGGTTAGGAACGTAAGAGCGAGGACATGTAAAGCCTGGTTCAAACTGTAAAATGTAATACGTCAGTATATCTGTCAAAAAGTTGGGTTAGAAAGTAAGCAGCGAAGACATGTAAAGTCTGGTTCATAACTGTAAAATGTAATACGTAGTATATCTGTCAAATAGTTAGGGTTAGAATGTAAGCACCGAGACATGTAAGTCTGGTTCATAAATATATAAAATATGGTACAGTCTTGCCCTGTCATATAGTTAGGTTAGGAACGTAAGCAGCGAGGACATGTAAAGCCTGATTCAAAACTGTAAAATGTAATACGTCAGTATATCTGTCAAATAGTTAGGTTAGGAATCGAAGCACCGAAGACGAAGTCTGGTTCATAACTGTAAAATGTGGTACGTTATGACATCTGACAAAACGTTTGATTAGGAATGTAAGCAGCAAGGACATGTAAAGCCTGGTTCAAAACTGTTTAAAATGTTGTACGTCAGTAAATCTATCAAAAAGTTGGGTTAAGAAAGTAAGCAACGATGACATGTAAAGTTTGGTTCATAACTGTAAAACGTCAGTATATCTGTCAAATAGTTAGGTTAGGAATGTAAGGAGTGAGGTCATGTAAAGTCTGGTTCATGACTGTGTAAAATGTAATACGTCAGTATATCTGTCAAAAAGTTGGGTTAAGAAAGTAAGCAGCGATGACATGTGTAAATGACAAGTAAAAAATTGTGAATATTGTCAAATGATTTTTGTGTATTTATATAAAATGTTCAGTAGGCAATGAAGACGATACTTTTTTTTTCTTCTTTGAAATAATATAAATTAAGGGGTGTTGAGTCAATGGGGAGAAGAAACATAATAGAAAACAGAGCAATAATAAGGAAACTTTTGTGCAAACTCGAAGCAATTTCGTTATTCAAATGACAATAATTTGTTTAGCACGGCTCAGACGCTTAAGTAAATTAGACCGAGCACACCAAAACGCTATTAGTATTAGCGGGCCTTCTCATCCCTTCTTTTCAACCCCCCACAACCGGTACATTTCCGCCCCGTCAACCCCCCGTGTAGAATTCAATTTTTTTTCTGTACCCTCGTTCTGTGTCTTTCTCTTTCGACGAAATTTAATATTCGAGTTTCGAGTTTTGCGAAAGATGATGTACAGCAGGGACCTCCGTCTGAATACATACATATCGTGATACACGGCCGAAATGGAATATAATATTAAAATGTGATGAAAACGAAATATCGGAAGGGACGAGACAGAGTGAGAAGGATGAGAAAGTTGAGAGAAAAAAATAAAATATAAAAGGGCACATCCTATTTTCACCACTGTCGAAGGAAAATAAAACAACTGGAAAACAAAGGAAAGAAACAAAAGTCGAAGCAACAGGGAATAGAGTAAACAGGGACAGAAATGTATAAAAAAAAATTAAATAAAGAAAAAAAAACAAAGTTCGTTCATTACGTATTCCACGTCTGCGGTTTGGGCGTAATAATATTATGAATTCTTATGAAGGAGAGCGCGAAGGAGAAAAAAAATGTGCGTAAGAATGTGGCACGTGTTTATATAAAGAGGGGAGGCGGTTTGGAAAAATCAACGTTACATAAATTGGCGGTGTGGAAGGGAAACCTAATTTTCTTATTGTTTCGTTGAAATTTCTGTTTTGAATGCATCAAGTGAATTCACCTGTGACACGTTTCATTGGATAACATTATGAGAATAATATGCTTTTCAATTTATTACTTCAATTTTGTTTTGAAATTAGTCAATTTTTCAATAAACAACAACGAGTAATAATTAGTTAGTACGGTTTCTGGGTGACTCTCCAACGGCGAACTCTCATTACAGCTTCATTGCGTTGCCATCTGGCCATTTCCTCCTTCGTCATTTCCCCGTCGACACTAGAATCGTCACTCTCTTTTTCCTCCTCTTCTTCGACTTTGTAGAAGTCTTCCACATCTGAGAACGGTCCGAAAATGTTGGTGTAATAGCGAGACGTGCTTACAGGTCCATTCGACTTCCTAGGAAGCACCTCGATCGGTTTATTGTAGAGATAGGTGCCATCCAAGCAGCTCGCAACGAACAACGAATTCTCGTCGAAAAACTCAATGTAAGCATGTCCTTGGTGCAATCCTTTGATCATCGAGACAAGAATCCTAATGTTATTGATGTAACCGCATCTGGAGAAGTGCACTTCCAACTCCTTCTTTGTTATTCTATGGTCCAAATTACCTACGTAGATGCAGTTGTTGAACGACTTTACCTTGTCTATCAACAACCTGTCGCGAATACTCAAGGACATGGATGATTTACCACTTATTTCCATGTGGGTTTTCTGGCCTTGCGAACTGAGAACGACCACTTCGTTGATGAGTTTTGATTCTTCAATATTCGAAGACATTGTGTTTTTGCAGAGAAATGTGCAAGGTTATGCAAAATGTATACAGCGATAAAATTGCTATTATACTTCTTTTTTTTTTGGTAGATTCTAAAAACTGAAAACGTTGAAAGAGATAGCTGATATATAGCAATATCTACAATAAAGATTCAATAAAAATAATTTCAAATATAAATTTCAATTCAAGTAAATCTATTTTATACACGATTCTCATAATTTTCTACTCGTTTTCAGTTAATTAAACCATTTTTTTTACTGAATTCCTGAAAAATCATACTTGTAAGTGTCTAAAATAAAGTGGGATACGTCTTTGATCATTTATTAATTACTTAAGTAAATATGCTATTCCTATATAACATTTTTCTTCCGATTTTTTCTTGATGTCCTTATTATGTGCATTATGACTTCAAAAGGTATAATTGGTGGCATAAAAACGAAAATATATAATCTACACTACAGGGCATGTATTTTAATTTGATAGTTAGTATTACGTAACTTTTATTAAAACCTATTTGTTTAGTTTTTTATACTTTCATTTTAGAAAATTACTTGGAAAGTAGTAAATGAATAATTTTTGAATAAATTAATATTGATAATTTGTGTAAAAGTACTTATACTTTGTGATTACCTACATTTAGAAACTTACTTGGCAAGTATCATGTAGTCAGTAAATCGTATACTCTTAGTTTTTTTTTTTGATAATTGGTATTTGTTAATTATAAGTTTCTGTGAAAGTACTTACATTTTTTAATTTTCTAGTTTTATATAACTACTTGTTAAAGTATCAAGTAGTAAGTAAACAATTTGTTAGTCAGAGACTTTATTTTAACAGTTTGTGTAAAAGTATTTTGTGATTCACTAGATTTAGGAAGTTATTTGACAAGTATTATGTAGTCAATAAGTCGTATGGTCTTAGTCTTTTTGATAATTGGTATTTGTTAATTATTAGTTTGTATAAAAGTACTTAAATTTTCTAATTTGCTAGTTTTATATAACTACTTGGCAAGTATCAAGTGGTAAGTAAACAATTTGTTAGTGAGAGACTTTATTTTAACAGTTTGTGTAAAAGTACTTGTATTTTGTTATTCACTAGATTTAGAAACTTACTTGGCAAGTATCATGCAGTCAGTAAGTCATATATTCTTTGTTTTTTTTTGATAATTGGCATTTGTTAATTACTAGTTTATGTGAAAGTACTTAATTATTTTAATTTCCTAGTTTTATACAACTACTTGGCAAGTACCAAGTGGTAAGTAAACAATTTGTTAGTGATAGACTTTATTTTAACAGTTTGTGTAAAAGTACTTGTATTTTGTGATTCACTAGATTTAGAAACTTATTTGACAAGTATCATGTAGTCAATAAGTCATATGCTCTTAGTCTTTTTGACAATTGGTATTTGTTAATTATTAGTTTGTATGAAAGTACTTAAATTTTCTAATTTGCTAGTTTTATATAACTACTTGGCAAGTATCAAGTGCTAAGTAAACAATTTGTTAGTGAGAGATTTTACTTATGAATTATTTAGTTTAATAGTTTTTGCAAAAGTATTTGTATTTTGTTATTCACTAGATTTAGAAATTTACTTGGCAAGTATCATGGTCAGTGAGTCATATATTCTTAGTCTTTTTTTGATAATAGGCATTTGTTAACTATTAGTTTGTGTGAAAGTACTTACATTTTTTAATTTGCTCGCTTTCAGTTAATTAAATCATTTTTTTAACTGAATTCCTGAAAAATCATACTTGTAAGGGTCTAAAATAAAGCTGGATACGTCTTTGATCATTTATTAATTACTTAAGTAAATATGCTATTCCTACATAACATCTTTCTTCCGATTTTTTTCTCGATGTCCTCATTATGTGCATTATGACTTCAAAAGGTATAATTGGTGGCATAAAAAGGACTTTCAGCCGCTCGGAAATATTCACTCGAAATGAAAACATATATAAACATTTTATATACATCTTCTCTTTCGTCGATGGAAGTTTATTCGGAAACGCCGCATATGGAAAGGAAATGACAGATCTCGATATTTATGCTCTTTTTGTGCTGTGCTCTCTTCTTTTCTCGTTTCCTTTTCTTCGTTTATGATGTATTTGGAGCCAAGGGTTGTTCGGGAATCAGCAATCGATCGCGGGTCGCGTTTCCTGTTCACTACATATATATATATATATATTTCTTTCCGAAAGAACACTTATTAGGAAGAGAAATAAAGCAATGATATACAGAAAATGAGCGCAAAATGACACGGAATTCCTCTCATCCATCGCGAACGCTGATAACAGCACTCATCGGAACTCCTCGAACGTCTTCTCCTCCATACAAAAACAAAATACTCACATTTCTTTTTATGTCTGTAACTCCCATTTCGACAATTTAATTGATTTATTTTTGGAACAATTTGAACGTTGTTTTAAATTAATTCTGAATCAATTAAAATAAGTCCCGACAGCAATTAATTCGCGATCCGATTTATTTGCGGCTTCATTTGCGTGCAAATGCGTGGAATTTATTTAACGTGCAATTAGTGAAGAAAATCTCATCAATAAATGTACATTTAATTATCTGATAATACACTGTTTATTACGTAAAAAAAAATAGATTGAATAATTCGTATAATTTTTCTGATAATTTTCTTCAATATTTCCATATCGATTTATGTGTTCTTTTCTACAATTCCAATTGGGAAACCGTTAATTTTTATTAATTGTGTCAAAACTATATTTTTGATAGTTCCTTTAAATAATTACAATTTACTTTATTACTTTATAATTTAAAAATTATTATTTTCCATAGTGTTTTTTTTAAGTTGTTTCTACAAGGTGGCGCAGAAGTAATGTCATAATTTGAATTGGCTGCCATTTTTGCAGATGGCGCTAAATGTCATTGTGCTTTGACATTTATGATGTAGATATATAGTGAATTAGTTGTCAATAAGCCATGAAGCGATACACACCCGAAGAACGTGGAAACTATGGAGATTTTGAAACACTAATTTCCAGGTCGAGTGATCTCCCGTTTTGGAGATTGGAACTCTCCGTCAAGATCGCCAAGATCTAACAGCACCAGACTTCTTCCTTTTGTGCTTTTAATAATCTCGCGTTTACCACAACAAACCTTGCAAGTCTTAAAAGCTAACTTTGAAGAAGAAATCTCCAATTTGGAGCCAGATGTTTTTTGCGAGCAACAATTGAAAATGCCGTAAAACGAGCGCAATTATGCATCAACTCGAGAGGTGGCCATTTGAGCGATATAATTTTATAGAAATAATGTGACCAATTTTAAACTTTCAAATAAACTTTTGATGAAAAAAGAGCTTTTTTTTGCATTTATAACAAAATTTCAGCCAATTCAAATTATGACATTATTTTTGCGCCACCTTGTATTAATTCGCTTCCAAAATTTATAATTTGTTGAATAGTTACAATTTAGAAATTGTTTCCATTTTGAATCATTGTTTTCTATAGTTTTTTTTTCTAAGCTGAAAAATATTATTTTCATGAAATTATCAATAATTAATCCCATTTTTAATCTATTAATTCTAGATTAAATTACAAAGTACAAAATGTTTTTTTTTGTTTGTTGCTAAATTGATTTCACCGTAAAATTCTTTTTATTTTTCGCAAATACATGATTAAACAAATTGCGGTGGATGTAACATATTCAGTAAGCATTGGTCCACAATGTTTTAATAGGTTTCGCTCGTATGTACATTTTTAATTTATTTATATAACAAACAACGAATATATTTTAAAAAATTACGGTTTTACTAACGAAAATGTTTATTTAATTTCCTCATATTATATTTAAACAAGAATTAATGAACATGTAAATAATTGCTCTTTCCAGAACAATATTTATTTTCAATTTATTAGTATTAATCATATATAAATGTGTATTTTGTAAACCAATATTTATCAATTTATTAATCCGAAATATATTTTATGTATGGACAAGTTAATAAATGTTATAATATTTCTATTTTACTCAAGCGATTTTCAGCGAAATATGAAATATATTTATGAATTTTGTCACAAAATATTGATACATTTTAAGTATTTTTAACGTTGAATACAAATCGTTGATAGTCGCAATGTTTTGGTGTTAGTAAATATTATTTTTTTCTATGTAGGAAATGGGAAATCTTCGATTAACAAAGTTAATTTAATTCCGTCGGTGATTTATGGTTTTTATGGAAGAAGGTCGATGAGTTTTAGAGAGAGAGAAAGAGGGAGACAGGCGTAAATGGGTTCGGTGAGTGGAAAAGGATACGTTCTGATGGAAATCATTTTTCTTGCAATTCGACAGGAAATGGAAAATATTACGTTTATTGCAAGTGCATTCGGCGACGCGAAAATGGAATTATCCTCGACTACAAAATTTGTTTTTATATACATAGCATATTCACTCTAGATAACTAAATCGCATTTCCACATCCGAACGGTTTACGGCAAGACACATGCCTGCTATTTCTACGTATAATATTTTTAAAAGCGAAAACATATAATCTACACTACAGAGCTACAGTATTACGTATTTTTTATTAAAACCTATTTGTTTAGTTTTTAATACTTTCATTTTAGAAAATTACTTGGCAAGTATTAAGTAGTAAGTGCATAATTTGTGAATAAATTAATTTTGATAATTTGTGTAAAAGTACTTGTATTTTGTGATTCACTACATTTAGAAACTTTCTTGGCAAGTATTATGTAGTCAGTAAGTCGTATACTCTTAGTTTTTTTGACAATTGGTATTGGTTAATTATTAGTTTGTGTGAAAGTACTTAATTCTTTTAAATTCCTAGTTTTATTCAACTACTTGGCAAGTATCAAGTGGTTAGTAAACAATTTGTTAATGAGAGACTTTATTTTAACAGTTTGTGTAAAAGTACATTTATTTTGTGATTCTCTAGATTTAGAAACTTACTTGGCAAGTATCATGTAGTCAGTAAAACTTTTAGTATTTTTGATAATTGATATTTGTTAATTATTAGTTTGCAT